ACCCGGTTCTCTTGGTTTCGGGTATAGCGGGCTTGATCCTCCACTCGTAGGAGAAGAAGATATCCGGGTCGGTATCCCGGGTTTGGGTTCGGAATCTCTTGGCTGATTTGGAGTTCAAGAGGAAGCTCTGGTCCATTTACAACCCTAAAACAGGGTTTTTGTTATTTCAATTTTTTTTAGGGTTGAAGGTTTTTTCTTTTAAACTTCAGATTTTGCTCTGTATTTTATGGGGAAAAAATCTTTTTTTATTTTTATTTTTTTTTATTTCAATTTTTTTTGTAGGGTTCAAGGTTTTTTCTTTTCAACTTCAAATTTTGCTCTGTATTTTATGGTGAAAAAATCTTTTGTTTATATGTCAATTTTTTTTTCTGGTGTGTGTGTGTGTGTGTGTTTGCAGGGTATACTGAGACGTTGGATGATACGACTGAGATAGTTGTGCCGAAAGATGATTACGGACTTTACGCCATTGATATTCTGGACCCTTCTTTCGTGAGCTTTTTTTCCGTTTTGTTCTTGCAATTCGTTAATTTTTCATCATATTTTGATGTGTTTGTGTTTGAGTTAACAAGATATTCGCATTTTGCTCGATTTTCAGTTTGTAAGGCTCCTGCATTTGACGGATCTATACCATTTCCATGACATGATCGACATGCTCGTTGAATGTGGATACGAGAAAGGAACAACGTTGTTCGGATACGGTTACGATTTTCGACAAAGCAATAGGTAGTAGTAGTAGTACTTAGTTTTCCGACAATTGTTTATTCGTGACTACACTAATATCGTAATATTGCAGGATCGGTCAGTTAATGGACGGTCTGAAAGAGAAGCTGGAGGCTGCCTATAAAGCGTCGGGGGGTAGAAAAGTCAATATCATTTCACACTCGATGGGCGGATTGTTAGTGATGTGTTTTATATCACTTCACTGTGACGTACGTTTAATTTCTTTGATTGATGCTTTGTCCTAAATTATCTTTTACGAATGTTGTCTTAAGCATTTGCATATAGATATCATGTTTACGTACGTCCGATTTATGTTTTCTTTAGTAATTGTTGAGCATTTGTTCGATTTTTGGTCGGATTTTTTAGCTCTTAAAACATTGACTTTTTAACTCTCGACTGCAGATTTTCACCAAATACGTAAATAAGTGGATTACAATCGCCACTCCCTTCCAAGGTAATAGTTGTTGCACCCCATTTTCGTGTTATTTTTACGAGACTCTAGATTAGTATATAATATGGGGTAAATTACAACCACCCCCTGAGGTATGTTCTATTTACGAAAAACCCCTTTTGTTTGGATAATTATATCTACCCCTCAACTATGATTTTTTCTTACACATCCACCCTTATGGTGTCAATTTCAACATAATCATCTAGATTTCGTGGAATGTGCTCTAGTTTGTACTCGTTTTGTGTACAAATGCAGTTTATGATGCACCATATATACAAGCCAAAAAACACATATTATGATCATCTTGCTTCAAAATGTAGAGTTCAAATGGGATAAAACGGGTACAAAAGTGATAATATTTCATATAATCTTGAAGATTCCACTAAATTTGAAACCGCAAGGGTGGACGTGTAAAAAAAATTATAGTTGAGGGGTGGTTGTAATTATTCAAACAGGAGGGGGGTTTTCGTAATTTGACCATACCTCAGGGGGTGATTGTAATTTACCCTATAATATATTACATACGAATTATTCTGATTTTATTTTGAACAGGTGCACCAGGTTGCATAAACGACTCTATACTTACCGGAATGCAATTTGTCGACGGCTTCGAAAGTTTCTTTTTCGTATCGAGGTGGTCAATGCATCAAATGGTAATATCTTCCCGTTTTCCCGATTTTTATTTTCCTCTTCTCTTTGATCCAATTTAACCATATTTCGTATATATATATATATATATATATTCTTAGTTGGTAGAGTGCCCGTCTGTTTACGAGATGTTGCCAAACCCTGATTTCAATTGGAAAAAACAACCCGAGATTCAAGTATGGAGGAAACACTCCGAGGATGGTGAAAGTTCGGTTACACTCGACTCCTATGAAACTAACGATTGTGTTTCTCTTTTTGAACAAGCATTAGAAAAGAACGAGGTACTCGTTTTTTTTTTCTTTTTCCGAATAGTCAACTCGTTTATTTGTTACACACTGTGCTATGTTTTATTATTTATTAATGCAGTACTAATTATCTTTGTTGATTTGTTAATGAAAATAGCTAAACTACGAGGGGAAAAAAGTGGCGCTTCCTTTCAACTTCGAGATTCTGAAATGGGCTGCTTCTACTCGGGAAGTTCTGAACGGGACTCAACTTCCTGACGGGGTTTCCTTTTATAACATATATGGAACATCTGTCGACACTCCTTTTGATGTTTGGTACTTAACCATATTTTTACGTTTCTCTTTTCAAACGTAATATCATCCAATCGTTTTACATGATTTTCTGACGTCTCTCTCTCTCTCTCTCTCTCTCTCTCTCTCTCTCTCTCTCTCTCTCTCGTGCAGCTACGGTACAGAATCTTCTCCCATTGATGAGTTATCTGAGATATGTCACACGCTGGTAAGGAAACTCAAACTCGACTTTATCTAATAGATGTTAAATCACTTTTCGATCATTGTTACATTAAGTGAACCGCCACCACTCGTAACACACATACTTACATGTTTGTATATATATATATTTCAGCCAGAATACTCGTACGTAGATGTTGATACTTACATGTTTGTATATATATATATATATTTCAGCCAGAATACTCGTACGTAGATGGTGATGGAACGGTCCCCTCTGAATCAGCAATGGTACGAACAATTCCGAATTTATTTGCTTTCTTTTTATATTTTACATGTACTATATATAATGTATCGGGTGCAGGCAGATAATTTCGATGCAGTAGAAAGAGTTGGAGTTTGCGGAAGTCACCGGAAGCTACTAGCCGATAAGAAAGTATTCCAGCTCATCCAAAACTGGTTAGGAGTTTCGACAAATGTCAAGACGAAGCAATATTCTACCGCTTCGTCGAAAGTGATGGATGATTCGATAGTCGAATCAACCTAGTTAGTACATGTTTAATTTATACTGAAAAAATTAATGATCGTTATTATCTTATGCTCACTGCACTCGAAGTTGAATACTTTCGATATATATATATATATATATATATATATATATATATATATATATATATATATATATATATATATATATACAAATAAAATACACGCACATAAACACACATACGTTGAATATATACGGCACAACGAAATACGGGAGTGTGGGGGAATATATAGAGATACTATGAAAGCAAGATCAACTTAGGACATGCGGTTTTTAATAACGACGATCTGCATGCATTTAAAAATGGATTGATTTGAACCGCGTATCGCGAACATTTGCAGATAACACGCCAATATTTATATATGATTGTACGGTTTCAAGAGCAAGACTCGTTTTTTTTTTTTTTATATTTACGATGTGATGGTTGCGGAGTAATTTTCAACATAATCCAAATAATTCCTACGATTTAACAAATTCTCTCGTTTCCAAACTTGCAAATCATTAGGGTTTTTGTCCCATATTTTATCAATTAGGAAGCGACGGTAAACCAAATCCACTATGTTTATCTGAATTTTCATGTCAATTTTTTCATTTTTCCGAGAAACAAAAATGGCTGGATTCCGTGTTAAACAACACGAAATTAAAAAGGAAAAAAAGAGAAACTGGAAATTGGGATCCGTGTTGAACAACGTGGAAATAGCATACTTCGTTTTTTATTCACTACATACATAATTCAAGAATCGTAAAAATATAAAATTTACCTCAATCTGTTATCGCATTAATCGAAAATTAGTTTCGAGAATTTGAGATAGAGTAAGGTTTTGAAATATGAAAAAAAAAATGGTAATTCTTTTAAAATGAAAGTACTAAAGCTAACTAGATTATCCCTTTTAAAATATTTAGTTTTTCAAATTATGAATGAGCCAAAAAAATAAAATAAAAAAAAATGGTAATTCTTTTTGTTATAGCTAGGAAAGGGTGGGGGGTTAAATGGAAGAAGGCATGGGGGCGGAATGCTTTTGTTTTGGCTCTTTAATTAATAAAGTGTTGAACTTTTTTCTTGGATTTTGTTTCTTGTGCAAAGAATATATTTTTATATTAATATTTGTTTTTTGAGTAATCCCTACTTAATTAATTAATTAAATAATTAAAAAAAATAAGAGATGGTAATAGTTTCCGAGGAGGCACGGGTGGTCCGACGATATCTCCAACACAATCCCACTTCCCACCGCTTCCCCACCTCCTCCGCCACTGCATTTGGATTCACACTTTTTCTTTATTTTTTATTATTTAATTACTTGATTTAATTAATTAATTAATTGATTAATTGTCATTTATACTAGTACAACTAATTATACATAAGTTTGAAGTGGACATTCAAATTTATTAAAATTATTAGATTCATCAAAGAAAATGTACATGCAATTATTGCACCATTTACACGTGGCCTTCTATGAGTGATTTTTATAAAACATCTAATACCTACACGTGTCACATATATATTGCACATGGCAAATTACGGCAACCACTGATATATGGTCAAATAACGAAAAAACGCTTCTTGTTTGGATAATTACAGTCACCCCCTCCTTTTAAATATTTTTACATAAATTTTATGTAATTCGGTTATTTACCGAACCAAATCGTATATTCAATTCAGTAAACGGTATGAAATGTTGGCGTATATTATAACATCCACAAATTTACCTCTTGAGGGGTTTTCTCGTAAAATATACATAGTTGGGATGGATGAGAGGGGTAATTACCCAAACATGAGGGAGGTTTTCATAATGTAACCATAACTCAGGGGGTTGGCCATAATTTGCCCCACAAAATTTTTACCCTCGAGGCCATTTATCAAGCCCAACTCCCCCGAACGCTGGAAAATGCACCGATTACTGGATTTCGGGCGGGTGGTGATGAACAAAACTGTGAAAAAATCATAAAATCTCGAGAGGAAGTATCAAAAATGTATTACTGATTGTGTGTGTGAGCGTAACTCTAATAGGGTTCTTACGTTTGCATATGTTTATATAATTAATTATGGTCCTTATTTACAATAACTATTTTTCGTCTATGATTAAGATTGCTCAATCAAACAGTTTAAAGCTAGCTACAACCTTTCCTTATCTATTTATGGAAATTGTCTCCAGATCTCATCCTCCAACATTCATGTAATCAGTTTGTCGTTCGTCGTGTCTTCTCTTCTTACCTCTACCAGCATTAAAAACCCGGGGGCGAACTACCATGTAATTATGACCTTTTCTAGGCGAACTTCTGAACTAACCACTTTGACAATCGTGTTCCATGGAACTCTTGGCTCGTCTTAATCTACAAAATTCGTCGGAGGAATGTTCATGGCCCATTTTATTCTGTTCGCCCTACTAGGCCTCTGGCCCAATATGCCAAGAAGGTTGGGGCACGACTCGGTTGCCGAATCGTACCCCATCAATCTGATTTATGGACAACCTAACTATACAAATTAACCAAATAGATAAATAATAAATTAAGAAAGGAAGTAGGATAGACAAGTGTGAAGGAAGGCTAGTTAATTAGAGAATGGCTCCAATTATGGTCAAAAAGAGATAAAAGACAGATGGTAGATAGACTATGGTTCGTGGCATGATTATTAATTATATTACCGAGACTATTATTAATTTAATATTTTTATTTATTTTTGGTCAAATTATTATTACTTTATGTTTTTACACATTGGAGAACATGCTTTTGGTAATAATCTAATCTAATGGTAATAGTATTTAATTTATTTATTTTTACTGTCTTTTGATTCTCTCTTCTTCAACGGTCAAACTTAGCAGTCATAATCTTTTTGCACCCTTCGAGACACTTCTCTCTCTATCTTCAATGTTCATCTATTTATTTTTTATTTATATATTAATTACAAATATAAATATAATTTAATTTAACTAATAATGCTGCAACAGGGAAAAGTAAAATTAAGTGACAAGCAAAGCAACACAGTTGACAAAATTGAAGTGATCGATTAGTATTTTTGAATATTAATATTATTATTTACGTTTGTAAGATTTGGTTTCTGTGAAATTCTATATTTGGAATTAGGGTATATATAGCTTAGGAATAACGATGTTAATTAATTAATATTTAAATAAATAAAATAGAATTAATGGAAAATGAATAACCCCAAAACCCTCAAGACAAGGGTTAGTGTCTTCATATAGGGGCACATATAGATATTATTATAATATTTCATTTTTTGTTTTTTAGCTTCTGCAATGTCTTGCATATCCAGGAATCTTCCCCCCTTAATTCCACACACATACATGCAGATATATATTTTATTAATTAAGCTAAATATTAAATTATCGAACTAATAATTTAATACGTTTTCATCGAGTCAGATCGAGAAATATTATTATTTAAACAAAGTTATTAATTTATCGATTTTATATTTATTCACTAATATGGTAATGAATGAACATATAGCCAATATAGGTAGACTAGGTAAACCGACACTCTCTTATAATAACTTGCAAACCACACGAGAGACGTAAACTGCACTAGATTGACCATGTGTGACAAGCTATCGACCGTTGCCAAGGGATACTCCGTCCTTCCCCAATTAATTGACGTTTTCAAATTTATCGCATTATTAAGAATTTCATTAATTAATCTCTAATTTGGTAGGAGAAATCCAAAATTGTCCTTTGCTCTCTCTAAATAATAGTAAACAAAGATAAAATATAATTTTTTTTTTATCCAACTCGATTGAAAACGTATTATCTGTTTGATCTAGTGATTTGACACTAGACTAATTAATTTTCTATATGAAGACTTGCAAAGAGCAGTAATATATATTTCCACAATTACACGATTTTATTTATGTAATATTATTTAAGATTGAATTCACATTATTTAAATTCAGAGAAGGAATTTTGAAATAAAATATTATACGCAGTACTGTCAGTCCATGCATGAATTATTGTAGTGTGCAGTAGAGAGAGAGAGAGAGAGAGAGAGAGAGTCCCCCGTTTGCAGCGGGGGAGCAGTTTGATCATCAACCCAATATAATATATATATATATATATATATATATTTGTGTGTAATTTGTATATATACATATAGAGAGAGAAAGATAGGAGAGAGAGAAAGAAAGGAGAGAGAGAGAGAGAGAGAGAGAGAGAGAGAGAGAGAGAGAGGAATAATGTGATGTGAAATATGGGAGGGAAGAATGTGAGAAAGTTATGGGGCATTTGAAGGCCGCCTGACCTAAAATGTGGCAGAGCCCCACCTGAATTTAACTACTACTACACTGCCTCTCCCAGTCAACCTGCAGATGATATATATATACACACACATTACACACACTAATCTGTGTAAAGTTATATGTATTTTAATTTTACCCTATATTGTTATAACTATTTATATATTTATATAAATACTATTGATGTATTAACTCAAATGTTAGATATATATATATATTATATATATATCGTCTCAATTGTAGTTCTTTGAGTTAGGTTTTCAATACAACAGACTTGAATCGGCTGGAATGGAATTTGGACGTCTGTGTACAAAGTTATGCAATTAATTGTTAATTCATTTATTCTACATTGTGGTTGGTGTTTATTGATTCATCATGTTTTTCTCATCCGACATCCGATTTTGGTGATTCGAGTTGGATTATGAAGCTAACACAAAATACTACAAAATCCGGGCTTCGAGTTTTGCCAAATTTAGATTTGAGAATTGCAAAAATAACGTTTGAAATCGAAACGATAATATTAAAACTGGAACTATATTTATCTAGACATATAATTAGTGACAGGGTTTTCTGACATTGAAATATGACTTTATTGTGTCCCAAGTAAGGTATGAATTAATGAGTGTGTATGCATATACATACCTTATATATGGGCGTGGGAATGGAATGAGGGCCTTTTATTTTATGGGTTCATTTCTTGATTGCTTAGTTGTTTCTAATATATATATATATATATATATATATATATATATATATATATATATATATATATATATACGATGAGGGGTAGGTAATGTTTCTATGATACAATTTACCAAGATATACCATGAACATACATGCAAATTACATCAATTATTGTAATTTATTTAACTACATGATCAAGGTTTCAATCCCCTTGTCAACAGTCGTTATGTTGAGTTTATCACAGATGATTAGCCTAGTGTGGTTTACGTTTCTTGTATGATTTGCAAGCTATTATACGAGAGTGTAGGTATACATAGTATACTTATATAGTTGGCTGCGGGTTTTTTCATTACCAAAATAAAAATACAATTAAATAAACTGTAAAGTCTGTATTTAAACACTCTTGTGTATTGTTGGTCGGAAATATGATTTTTTTTTTTTGTCCTGCAAATAATGTCGATTTTGATCCGAACGATTTCGATTATGGAACCATCTTTTTACGATGATTTTATTTTAAAAACATGGATTTGGAATTGGAATTATAATAAGTTTTATATGATTCAATGAATCTTTGTGGATTATTATTTTTTCTGTTTTTTTTTTTTTTTTTTGTTAAGTATGCTATAAATTGTGAGGTTCTTGGAGAGATAAAAAGGTAGTATACCGTGTGGTTTCATAATTGAGTTTTTAACCCATACTAATATTTAATATATTTAAAAAAAAAAAAAAACTAAAATTAATTAATGTAAAATTAAAAGGGTTAAGAGAATCTTGGAAATCTTTGAACGTTCAAAGGATAGTTTTAAGATTACGAAATTAAGCACGTGCTGTTAGGTTTACAATCCCATGTGTCTTACCCTATAATTAAACTATACTAATTAATTAATTAATTAGTTAATTAATTACCATCGAGATAAGTTAAACCTATACTTGCCTATTCTTGGATTTACCCCCTTTCAATTTGAACTATACTATATTATATTTTGTCGACAATATGTGTGTGTGGTGTGTTGACTGTTGACCATACAAATGTACAATACGCAATTATTATAGTTTATACATTTTTAATTAAATTTTGTTGCTCGTGTATTAGCATGTATAAACAATTTTATATTTTTCAGGGGCCAAATATGCATAAAAAAAAACTCAAGTGTGCTGATTATGCTACGTGACGAAAAAATTGAGAAATATCGAGAATATATGGCCATCTTGAATCTATACTGGCTCCGCAACTGCATTCTTTTACTTGGACCTCTACACGCAGAGTGTGAAATTAAAGAGCAAAAATCATAAGAGATCAAATTTCATTGTTTTTTTTTTAATAATCATTTCATTGTTGCTAACCTATAATGTGAGAATTGTAGTTAAATTCTGTAAATTTATACGGTCGGAGATAATAGAATCCTATAAATTTATCGAAATATTAAATTATTGAACTAATAATTGAGTATGTTTTTATCGATTCGGACCGGAAAAAATAATAAACTAAGCGAAATTATTAACTTATCGAGAAAAATGTGAGAAATTAAAAGGACAAGAATGCCCTTGATAAACCCTAGTAATACAAAACTTGGTATTATCACTTGGTGAAATGATAAGAGTTTATTGGGATCTGTGTTTGCCTGCCTGCCCTTGAAACTATAGGGCACCCCCATTTATGACCAACTATATCTAGAGAGAGAGAGAGAGAGATGAGAGAGAAAGAGGAGAGAGAGAGAGAGAGAGAGAGTTGGGCGTATGTATATATAAATAAATGTAGAGAGTTTGCTTTGGAAGAAACGATTTTCTTTTTACCTTTGATTCATTTGGACCTTTCCTCTTCATCTCATACTAGTATCTCTATATATCTTCTCTCACTACAACTCTTCTTCTTCTTTCTTGTTTCTCTCTCTACTTACACTGTCTTTCTCTCTCTCTCTAGATCATTACTTCATGCATGAAGAAATGAACCACTACTGATTTATACATATACTAGTACTCTCGATATATAATTAGAAAGAAAAACCTCGTACTGGAACAAAAAAAAAAGATGGATTCAATGAACAACTGGTTGGGATTCTCTCTCTCACATCAACAACAACAACAACAACAACAACAGCAAGATCACTCTCAGAACTCGGTTCTTTCTGATAATCAAACTCAGCTAGGGTTCAACTCGGATGAATTATTATTATCTGCCGGTGGTGGTGGTGGTGGTGGTAATAGTAACTCCGATCATAATCAATGCTTCGATCTCATCACTTCCGACGACTCCACCACCCTTCCTCCGGCCGCCGCCGCCACCCCTTTCTCCATTTTTCAAGCTTTCAACTCAAACCCTCATCATTCTCAAGGTCAGTTTTCTATATTTTTTTAGCGTCTGTTTTTTATGGCCCCCTTTCTTTAAAACCCTAGTTTTTTTATGTTTTTTTTTTGCAGATAATTGGAATATGAACTCGTATTCATGCAGCCCGCACCAAAATCAAGAAACCCCAAAACTTGAGAATTTCCTCGGCGTACATGGCGGCCAAACCCATTTCACCGACCACTACCATATCAACGGCGGCGGCGCTAATCGCTACACCCCATACCAAGAAGCTGAGCCGCCGGCCGCCGGAAACAACAGTACTATGGGTTTATCTATGATAAAGAACTGGCTGAGGAACAACAGCAGCAACCCTCTTCCACCGCCGACGACGGAAGCAGTAGATAATGAGGCGGCGGTGGTGGTGGCAGGCGGTGGCGGTGCGCAGACACTGTCGCTTTCAATGAGCACAGGCGGCGGCGGCGGCTCTCAGTCGTCAGATAATAACAAATTACACCAGTCTGGTAATAGTAATAATAATACTGCAGCAGCAGCAGCAGCAGCTGCAGCTGACAGTTGTACTCAGAGCAGTGGTGGTGGTACAGTTGAATCTGTGCCAAGAAAATCTATTGAAACATTTGGACAAAGAACTTCTATCTACCGTGGTGTTACAAGGTTTTTTTTTTCTTTTTTTTTTTTAATTAATTATTTATTTATTTATTTTAGTTTCTATATATATAAAAAAATTAATTAAATTAAATTTGTGTTTAGGCATAGATGGACAGGGAGATATGAAGCACATTTATGGGATAATAGTTGCAGAAGAGAGGGACAAACTCGCAAAGGAAGGCAAGGTTTGTCTAATTTTTAATTTTTTTTTTAATTTCAATATAATTAATAATTTTTGATCTTTAATTATTTAATTAACTTATTAATTAATTTCTTTTTTTTCCCATGAAATGATTCAATCTTTACTCCAGTTTACTTGGGTAAGTCAGTGCCATTTTTTCCTCTTTGTGTTTCCATTATCTCCATTATTTTTTTATTTTTTTTATATATAATATATATTTTAGTTAATTTATTTTTATTACAAATATAATAGGAGGTTATGACAAGGAAGATAAGGCTGCTAGAGCTTATGATTTAGCAGCACTGAAATACTGGGGAACCACCACTACTACAAATTGCCCTGTGAGTATATTTAATTTTCATTATTTCACTATTTTTTTTTAATATATAAATGTTGTTATTAAATTTGTAAATAATGTAGTTAATTTTAAATTTTATTACTTAGCCACATTTTTTTGTATCGATTTTTTTCGAAAACAATTAGATCAGCAACTACGAAAAGGAAATCGAAGAAATGAAGCACATGACAAGGCAGGAATTCATAGCATCCTTAAGAAGGTACGTAATCGATTCGAAGTAATTTAATTAATTTCTCGAGTAATTAATTTTTTTTATTTAGTTTCTTGAAAAAAATTAAAACTTATGTAGTATATATAATCAAATATATATTTATATATATGCATGCATTGTATTGAAATGGCTACTTCAATTGATCCAGGAAGAGCAGTGGATTCTCTCGTGGCGCATCGATTTATCGAGGTGTTACAAGGTATAATTATAATATATCATAATTAGTTAAAAAAATAATTTACAAAAATTCACCATATATAAAATATAATATTCTGCATTTTAATTAATTGGACAATAATATTAATTAATCAAAAAATTAATTAACAGACACCATCAGCATGGAAGATGGCAAGCAAGAATTGGAAGAGTTGCTGGAAATAAAGACCTTTACTTAGGAACTTTCAGTAAGCACAACTATTTTAATTTATTTCTAATTATATTTCGTTGTTTTTTAATTATTTTATTTTTATTTTTTTCCGAAAAAAAGGCACACAAGAGGAAGCTGCAGAAGCGTACGACATCGCGGCGATAAAATTCCGAGGCCTAAACGCAGTGACAAATTTCGAGATAAACCGGTACGACGTCAAAAGCATATTAGAGAGCACCACCCTCCCGATCGGTGGTGCCGCCAAGCGATTAAAAGATGCGGAGAATGCCGAGATCGCCCTCCAAATCCAACGAGCCGAAGAAGCGAACAGTGCGTTGACTATTAGCAACCACATATATAACATGAACAACATTAGTAATGGAGTGTATGGTGGTAATAACAACGGTTTCCAGAGCCAATCACAGCCGTTGATCGGGATGTACCCTTACGGATCAAATCAACGGCTCTGGTGCAAACAAGAGCAACACGATTCCGGATTTCACGATATTCATAATCAGCAGCAGCTTCAACTGGGAAACTATACTCAGAACTTCTTGCAGCCTTCTTCGGTTTTGCACAATTTGATGAGCATGGATTCGAATAGTTCGGTCGAGCAGAGCTCGGATTCCAATGCCGGTGTTTATGGGAATGGATTCACGATGCCGATGATGAATCCGATTGCGGAGGGCGGATTTGAGGAGAGCGTGTTTGGAGGGAGTTCGTATAATCAACATGCGAGGAGTCTGTATTATCAGCAATCTTCTTCGCCTCCGCCAACCGGGGTTCCGAAAAACGGGATTTATAATAGTGCTAGCGATCATAATAATAACGGATGGATACCTACGGCTGTTCCGACAACGACTTTTACGGTGTGGAACAATACGTAATAACCGCGGGAATGTGATAATATTATTAACTGACTTTTACTATCGTTTTTTTTTTAGCTTTCTTGATTTTGCTTAGAGAGAGAAACTGATCTAGGAAGATTAGGTATTTCGTTAACGTTGCTTTCGATCATCAATGTACGACGGTGTGGCCGGGGTTTCATCACTAGTCTGATCAGTGGCTGTGAATTTTGGGAGCTTCGGTTTTGGTTTGTTCGTCGGTGGCAATTACGTAATGTATGTATGTCCAGGCTTTGTAATTTTCAATAGCATTTACTGAACAAAGAATTGGATTTTCTATGCTTATTCTTTGTGTCGAATGTTGATTTAGTTATATTACTCGTTACACGGGTTAAGTGTTCGGGTTTTTGAGGTATCGGAGAAAGAGAGGAATCGTATATTGAACTGTTAAACTCCGTTTACACGAATGATCGTAGCTGCCTAACCAACACGTTGATCATCCAATTTATAACTAACTGATTAATCCATCTAAGCTTACGCGTACGCTTTTATAAGTTATGTTCGTATCTTCCAAACGGTATCGTTTCTCCGTTCCCTTCACCAACTGGCATAACGAAATCAAATATCTTACTAGAACTTTCGAGTTCGATTCAATGTTTTTTATTCAAATTAATTCCAATAACTATTTTTAATTTATTTGATTTTATTTCAAATAAAATGCTGAAATTTATCATAAAATCACAATTAATCGTTAAAAAAAGTGTAATCATATAAAAATCGAAACTTTCTTGAGATTCGAATCAGAAAATTGAAAACTCGAAAGAAACGACAACCAATTCGACTCTGATACATCACGGTGAATAACCACCTCAACCAAAAGTTTAACATGAGTTAACATATTATTGAAATGTATCATTTAATATTAAAATCTCAAATTATGCCCTTGTCTGAAAATGAACTCTTCTTAGCTCGGACCAACCATATACCAAGTTAATATATATATATACACACACACAGCCAGTCAAATAAAACAGATGAACAACATCATTTATTCATCCCAAATAATAATACAACAAACAATTAATACAAAGCTAAAAATAATATACAAGGTGAAATTCATATATAAATATATATGTTGAATACATTACATGTTACAACAACGTTGAAGAAAACGGGTCGACCCGAACGAACCGAATTCTATTCAACGGGTCTGATGGCACATACCGCATACGTTGGCTGATCGAACGTTGGCATAGGTGCAGTAATCGCAAGACCAGTGACCAGAATCATCTATGTTTCTAGAAGGTCCGATTAATCTCGATGTGGTTGTACCTCCTCCTTTGCTCTTACTCCCTCTTCCTTTATTACTGCCACCTGGATTCTTTGATCCACTCGCCTTGCTTGTTACTGCGTGCGAGTCTACATCCGATAGACCATTTTCTAATGCTTGGACAAGGTTCTCAAAGTAATTCTTCGTCACACTGCAGTTGTCCATAAAAGAAATAACGTCAAAGATCGTCTAAAGAAGTTAGTAAAAAAGTTAGTTGGAGTCTGACCTGGTCAATCCGGCTAACTTAGTGCGGAACTCATTGAAGTTTTCCGAAGGACCCCCGGAATTGAGGTACCCTTGAAATTCCTTCTCTGCACATTGATGAAGCCGTTCTAAACCAGACTCTGCCTCACCTAAACAATACAGAAAGAAAGCTAAGTAGCAGCACATGCATGAAAGACGAGAGAAGGTAAGAACTTTTGAGATTGGATTGCAGACCTTGCAGATACTCAAAGAACTGCTTCTTAGCATGTTCGAGCTCGTGTAGATAATATCCATATGCATATGTCCATTTTAAAACCCTTCTGCATTCAACAATCTGTAGAAAGCCAGCCAGTTTTAGCAATTAAGAACAATCTAAAACCAACTGCTTTACGAATGCATAGAATAGAATAGAATAATTCCCATGCTAGCCAATCCGGGCACTTTAGTAAGCTATCCAACTATACCTACTAGTGCATAAGATATTTGGATCACTCGAAGTGGAACACTACCAGAAAGCAGCCACATAAAAGATAAATATACAAGAGCTCGTATTCTTTCAAAAAGTTGTACAGCACGTTGCAAAGTTGGTACTTGAACTGTGTACAAATCGATCTCCAATTCTACACTCTTACTGATTGCTAGGTGTCATAAGTTAACGATGTGAATAACTTTATTCTCAGGGTGACATGCATGTAGTAGATTACGAGATAGTTTGGAATCATTGCCATATATAGATATTAATACATAAACAACTGCCTCTTTTAGCACTTCGGGCAGGGGAAAGTCCGTACGAAAACTAATACACCTTTATGCCATTTTCAATGACCACTATGCTGTATGGCATTAGCAAGCAACCAATCCCAGATCAAAGAAACAAATTTACTAGCCAGAAAGAAATTATATTGGAACTAGTCTTACCTGTAGCCAGGCCTCTATAATGAACTTTAGCTGAGATTCGGGTTGACACTGTATCTCACTCAGCTTTTCAATCTGCCAAATAAGTTATTATCAATACAAATTCTGGCTGAAAAACAGCTTTCAATTTATGCGTCAGGCTACTTCCACATAAAAGTCCGAAAGTTATTATCGATGCAGTCAGTTTATTTTTCCATCACAGTCCATCATAAAACTACAGCTAAAATAGCAAGTAACAAGTATTAGTTGGCAAAACATGGAGTTTATGACTCTCTAACATTTAATGCACTGGAGCACACAAGTTAAAGTTTTCCATTCTCCATATGGTCGATAATTGAGTTATCAATTAACAAACTTTCATACTTCTGGCACCATGTGCAAATGTTTTAAGCATGATGTGAGGATAATGCCAAAACAAACCAAAGATAGCCAATAAAAGTATACATGTAGATAATGTAAGATAAGGTGTCGTATGATTATGCAACAGAGCCTACACAAAATAACTTTTTTCTAGTAATATCAACCTACATAGATTTTGAAAAGCTGACTGGAAAATGAAATTTATGATAGCACTCGGATATTTCAAAAAGGGGGAGGAATATCATTATTCACATAGAAAAGGGGGAGGAATATCAATAATCTATCATACAAAAAGATAAGCGAGCTTTCAAAAAGCAAGGATGTTTCTTACATGTACTGTTTGCATTTGGTGTAGATTTTCGAGTGCTCGTTGCCTCGACTGCAGATAGATAGAAACAAAATTAGAGTACTCGTGCAAAGGATAGATGAAATGAGGAAACACACATGACACTTAAAACACCATATGGGGAAAATTGTCATTTGTAAACGCAAGTGAAACATGTAAATATTTATCACTGCCAAATAGAATAAAGTATGGCACTTAACTCAAAGAGAATGGATTGCCAAACAAAATTTAATGTCAATTAACTATCTGGAACTGGGCTATACATGATTAAGAAATTTGTATGTCAATTAACTCTCTGCTTGAAGCAACACTACAGAAATACAAGAATTAATATAAATCTGGAACAGAAAGTTCCACAAAAATCAACTCTATTCTTACTTATAGAATCACAAACAGATAAAGTGACAGCCACTGCATCATAAATAGAAAGTGAAATTGAGCTATACGTACCGACTGGTTTGTAGCCCATCTTTCATAGTAATGTGTATATCTTTCTAGAGAATTCTTAGCCATCTCTCTTCGTTTTTCAGCATCATCCAACTGTGAAAGAATGCACATTTTAATTGGATACAAACATACATATCAAAGGATGTGATGAAGCTGTTTAAAATGATTAATAAAGTAATAAACCAGTAATCTTACCGCTCCTTCTCGCTTGGCAGCTTCATAACGGTTGCATGCATAAAATCCACCAGTTCTTTCACCATGTTCTGACCATGCACCAAGACACAGCCTGCAAGTACATCCCATATGGATTGAAATGCCAATAAACATGAACGCTTAGCATCTTGTGTGTTGTGAACATTTGACAGTAAAGCGAAGAAAGACAGCAATAATTACAACTTCAGAGTTGACAACATCTTAAAACCAATCTTATGCAGAGTGAAAACTAGTTCACAATCTAAGCATGTTTGGTTACATTTTGGGGATAAATTTCCATTAATTTTGGGAGAAATGTACCCCGGGGAAAAAAAATGAGATGGAAGTAGTGTTTGTTTACTTATTTGGGGGAAAAAACTTTTAACTGCAGCAGCCAAATTATGTCAGAAAGTAGCGAGAAAAAATCATGTCTGAAAGTAGTGAGAAAAAAAAAACTAAGAAAATTTTGAAATAAAGTAGGAAACCTTTTTCACTATAGTACTCAAATCATGCAAGAGTAAATTAATAGATGTTTTGAGATGCAAAAGTCAAAACAAACACAAATTTCTTAATTCCCAAATGAGAAAATAATATCAAAAGATAAAGAAACATAGATAAGGCTTTTTGAAAACCATGGGAGGACTTTTACTTATAATAGGAGCAATCATGCATACCAGCAAAACTCGAATTTACAAGGTGGCGTGCACGTGATATGCATGCAGCCTTGATTCTTCTCAATTGGTCGCTTGCACTTCGGACAAGGTTTTGAGTTGGCCAATATCCTGGAATAACAATAGGAAAACCAAATTTAGAATTAGCACTGGATGGAAAAATAAATCCTATGTTGAGTACTCAAGTCAAGGTAAGCCACGAGTGCAAAATCAATGAAATACAGCAAAATTGTTTGTCAAACTGAGACATCAACTTGAAAAAAATGTCAACCTAATCTGGAATGTTGAAGCTCAAATGAGCTAGAAAATGCTAATGAAAGAAACAATCGAAAACTTTGAATTTCCAAGAGTAGATAAGTAATATTTCGCCTAATCTAAATACAGCTACATACCAATTCATATTCTCAGACTCAGCAGTGTTCTTCAATATCCACTTAGACACGGTTCCACAATCAACTGGGCGATGGGCTTCCTCCGAACACTGCATGCGCTTTTAAGCATCAGTAACTTGTGTATGTAGTACAGGTTGTGACCGAGAAACATATATAGTTTTAAAGAAAGGAAGTTTGGATAAAGCAGCAAGACTCACACTCCAGCAAAAACTGTGAGAGCAACCGCAGGTGACATCATAGCTTCCACCACCAACAATAAAATCCACAGCATAATCACAGCCTGGTGCAGGACACCACTTTGTCTATGGTAGAAGACCAAAAAAAAGAATATGAAATTTAGAGACGCAAACAATGATTTTTTATTAGTTGATGTTAGCTGCCTATTAATATGAAGATAAATACTCTAGCAAGGAGATGGAAATTGATAGTTTTATCTAGTTCTATTTTTTTGAAAAGTAGTGCCGAACGTGCATATTCTCTTACAAAAGCTATACTAAGACTTGTCACGACTAATGGACATAAAGCCATAACTAATCTCAAAACAGTGTCAATATAGAAGTATCGAAACAACCACCTAGATCCATTACGCAACCCTTTTATGGAGAGAAAAGAATTGTATTTATTGTAAGAAGGAGGTTATCAGTAATAAAGCTGCATGTAAATTTACCTTCCTATTATCTTCAACAAATGATCTTAAAAAGTAGCGGTTATATTTCTCTTTATCATCATTAGAAGCCAAATTAGTCACCATATCCTGTCCAATAGCAGCATTACATGATGGATCAGGACAGCGCAACATTAAACACCCTGGCCCATCATTAATGGATGTACTAATATACCCTGCGACATAAAGATATCACTAGAACTTTAGATGGGATGAAAAGAAATCTCACATGAAAATTTATAGAGTAACTTCGAAACTAGCAAGTAACGCATACAAAAGGATAACTCGGTTTGTGTACTGAGAGAGAGGACATCTCTCCATACAGCTAGCAGATGATTAAATTGCCAACAATATCAACAAATAAAGAAGAAAGAAAAACAAACAAATGAAGGGATGCAAACCTTGCCAACACAAAACACAGAAAGGATGGCCACATGCAGCAGAACTCATCCTATCACGAGGATAAGTTTCGAAACAGATTCCACAAGTTAACTGTAAAAGTTCAAAAAAAACATAAAGTAGCATATAACATGGAAATATAAAATGAAAATCCAATTCTGAAAAAGGTAACAGTATCCCACTATATTGTTTCTGTTCAAAGGAATTCCTATATAACTTCCTCAACTAATGATCACCTCTTTAGCATCAGGAAGGGGAGTGTCGTTCTCCAGTAAACCAACAGTTTTGCGGACCTTTCCTTCATCAGCAAACCATTCATCATTCACTTTACTAACACTCCTGTGGTTTAAGAAGATAAGTAAGAACTCTTCAAGACATTAGCAAGACAAAGTTCATAATAATCATATGCTCAGCCAGCAGTTAAGCAACGAAGAACAGCATAAGGTTATATTACATATGTAACTTTTAAAGACAATTACAGACCATAGAAGTGGACTTGAAATACGTTTTGTAGAGCAAAACTTACGTAACCCATTCATTTATATTGTTGCATGAGCCACTAGGAGCTTCATACTGACACTCTAAATTCATAAATATAATATTTCAACCAAACGTGTGGTAAGAGACAAGTTACCAGTTATAATGGCGGAGCAACACGCCAGCAGCAACTCTTGAAATTGAGAGAACCATGGATATCTTCGTTATATCATCCTCTTGACACTGCCGTATATCATCTTCGTTCAAAACGGTGTAGTTCTGGGTAAAAATAGTAAAAACACTTGAAGTAACCATTCAAAATAACAATTATAGCATAATATTATTGCAAGCGTGTAAAATAGGATTACGTTCAAAATCATTAACATAATAACAATAATAACATAATATTATTGCCAGCGTGTAAAATAGGATTACATTCAAAATCAGTAACATAATAAAGCGTGCATCAATTGCAAGCATATAAATAGACTTTGTATTCTGGTAAACATAATGGAAGTCCAAGCTTGGAGCTATAAATGATAAATGAGATTAAAAGTTAAAATGTGAGCAGAACATAGATTTACAAAAGATCAATACTAGATGAAAATGAGATTAAGCAGCAAGACAAGTCCTAATTCAGTAAGCAGTTTTGGCCAAGCAAGATCGATTCAACTATTTGCAGTACAACATATAACAATTTACATGCAACTACGTATACCAGTCCCTCGCCCTCGAATTAATAAATTCCCCAAGCATATCAAATGCAACTCAGAAACTCATCATTAACATCAAGACACTTCAGTAAATACCGCATTTTTACTATAAAAGAAAACCCTCTTTAAACACACAATACACATCATTCCCAAATTTTAACTCAAAACCTATGCACAAAAACTACAATTAACAGCTTAACTTATCCATCTACCTTCGCAATTAAAAAAAAAACCACAAATACAAAATCACAGTAATTGATAAACTAATAGAATTCATAAAATTCAGCAGCGGTTCAACAATCACAAAATTCACCAGTCAACAAGGTAAATCAATCCAATCACTACACCAGCTCCATCACGAACAATCTACAGAAACAAAATACGACAAAAGGCAAAAAACGCAATTACGATTCAAGCAAATTGAGGAGAACAACCTGCGATCGAGTGTAGTGGTGGTGGAAAGTGGAGGAGGGCTCATCGGAATCGTCGGAGTCGAAATCCATAAACCCATCGTACTCCATGATGACGTCATCCAGGTCGGAATCGTCCTCATCGCCTCCGCCGCCGTATGATTCTTCGTCGTCGTTTGAATCTTCCGTCATCGCCCCCACCGTCTCGTCCTCCGAGTCCATAACTCTGTGTGTGTGTGTGTGTGTGTGTGTGTGTGTGTGTGTGTGTGTATAGATATAAATTGGTGTATGTATAATTCTAAATATCTGATAATTCAGCTATCACCTACCTAGAGAGAGAGAGAAAGAGAGGAGAGAGAAAGGAGAGAAATGAAATGGAGCAATGGAGGCGATTCCTTGCTTTTTATGATTGACGAAACTGCAAAAGAGAATGTACAAACTTCGTTGCGCGACGTACAATATATCGATGCTGTAGTACACCCTTTTATAATTAAGAAAGTAAAGTTCCTGTTCGGCAGAAAATATCATAAAAGTAAATTAGGCGAGGGTACAAAATTGCATTTTGTTAGCTCAAATCAGCTAACTTTAACTAATTAATTATTACTTTTTTTATTAATTATATTTTAAAAATTAAATTATTTTTTCTCTTCACATCCAATCTAAATAGTAGTAATTAAAATAAAATAATTTATTATTATAAACTCGACATGATGATGTGGGAAGGTTTCTCATGTGGACCTTACCATGTAGTTCTTTTTTTCCTTTTTCTTAAAAATCCGAAAATCCGAAAATCGAAAAACCCGAAATTAAAACATTTTCTTTTTTGTTAGTTATTGTTGTTGGGATGATGTGGGATGGTTTCTCCCGTGTATTACATTTTCTTGATTAATAAATTATAATTTTCTTTACTTGGAGCATTAATAAGAATTGGATGAATGTGGACCAATGTAGGCAAATTGATTTCAGCCTTACATATTATGGCATTAGTATGAACTAACTAGCCCAACTTTATATATATATATATATATATATATATATATATATATATATATATATATATATATATATACATCGCCTCCACCTGTCGGAGAATATGCGTGCTAAAGAAGATCCTCGAAGTGGTAACGGAGTTAAGCAAGAGAATGCAAATTCCGGTTCGTCTCGACTTCCGATTCTGTAGGTATTTACCTTAAGGAACCGGTTTTAAGAAAGCTTCCGGTCGAGATGATGAAGATTGACGTATAGTTGATTATTTACTTGTTTTTCTTTTTTTTTTTTTATTAATTTTCGGTCTTTCGAGTGTTTTTCGATTTAGAGGCGGAGCTCGACGGTCTTCCGTTTTTCTTTCGTTGTTAAATGTGTATATGAATTTTCGTCCACTGAACACCCTCATGTCGAAACTGTACTCGGAAAACGAGAATCAATTTTATACACGTCTCCAATTAATCGGACTAATTCAACTCGGAAAAAAAATAGGAATTTCGACTATACACATTTACTACTGATTAATCCGACTAATCTCGACTCGGAAAACACGAACAAAACTATACGCATTTACTCCCTGACCCGAAACGACAGACATTTACTAGTAATCAAATCCGACTAATTCGAAATCGATACACGTTTTTAGTGCTGAGATCAATCCGACAACTCGCAAAGGTTACTGCGCAGAGTTTTTACGCTTCCTCTTGGGCCTGGCGACATTTCGAACAGGGAAGAAACGGTTATCGACGTAAGGAACGAACACCCCTCCAAAAACCGCGGTTTCATCACGACCCTCGAATTTTCGCTCCCGAGCGTCGTAGACCAGAACTACCAGAGTATCCAAATACGTCATATTTCTAATAATCCGACGTATCACAACCTTATCTCCGGCGAAAAACATCGGCCGGAGAGTGCAAATATCGTGCCGCACATTCGCGATACTCATCAACACCTCCCAAGAAGTATTTTTCTTGTTCCTCGTCCAGATCTTAACCACCGTCTCGTCTTTCGCATCGTTGCTGTAAACGCAAAGACGCCCCTTCAAGCACGTCAGGAAAATCGGTCTGTCGTTGTCACCCCCCGCACCAGCTGGCGTCTTCCGAATTTTGAGGTGGTCGTCTCTCGGATCGAAATAGAGGATCCTGACGATGTTCGGGTTTTCGTAGTCGACCTTGAGCCAATACACGGCCCCGTCGAAATACAGCCCCGATTCGCTGACTTGATCGGTGTTTGCGAACGGCTTCCGCCGCTTTTCCGAGATTCCGGTCCTGAAGGAATAGACGCTGTAATCCGGCTGCCGCGATCTCGATATGACGACGACCTTGAATTCGTCGAGAATCGGGCCGTAACACATGCCGGTGCTCGTTAGGCTAAGGGACCAAGGTGAGTGGAATTCCATGGTGGCTCCGGTTGAGGGATTCCACAGGAGGTAATTCCTCAGCGACGGCGGCTGTAGGAGAACCAAGCCGTCGCAAAAGCACGAGACGGACCAGGTTTTAGTGATAGGGTTTACCAATTGCCGGACGGCGACGAATTCCCCCCCTTCGAATTTGACCAGAGAAACTTTGCTATGGCGGTACGACGGTTTCGAGAAGAAGAGATTGGGTTGGGAGGACGAGTTCTGGTAGCCTCGGATGTAGGTTCGGTGGAATGCCGGATCGGAAATCATGTCCCGCCACGATCTGGAAACTGCTCGGAACCGGAGGACGGACTTCGCCGGCAATTTGAACAGGATGGTTTCTATCACGTGGAGGGGAATGTAAACTGCATTTCTGTTGTTGCCTTCCGCCATGCGGCGGTTGTTGTTGTTGGCGGCGGCGCGTGTGTTGCAGAGAGTGATTTGTTTCAGTAGTTAGGATTTAACAGAAAATGAGTAATTTTGTTTCTCTCAGTTTGTAAACTTCACTTATATATAGTCTTTGTACACGTCACCATAATTTAAAAAAGGGTAATTACGGCCACGCCCTGAGGTAAAGTTAAATTACGAAAAAAACCCTTATGTTTGGGTAATTACAACTACCCCTCTCAACTATGAATCTTCTTGCACGTTCACTTTTATGGTGTAAAATTCAACATAATTTTATAGATTCTATGGAATATTCTCTATTTTGTACGCGTTTTGTGTAAAAATACAGTTTCTGATGCACCACAATCTGGTATTTAGAAGCCGAGAGGCGCACCTTATGATCATCTTATTTCAAAATGTGGAGCTCGAATGAGATAAAACTGGTTGGTACAAACAAGAGAATATTCAATATAATTTAGAAATTTTCACTAAATTTAACACCAAAATGGTGGACGAATGTAAAAAAGATTCACAATTAATTGAGGCACAGTTGTAATTACGCAAATATGAAAGAACTGAACATTTGTTTAGACTAGAAATATTGATGATTAATTCCACAGGGAAAACAAGAATCAAACTACACATAGTTATTTGCTATGATTTACACGACTAATTCGACTCGTAAAAACACGAACAAACTGTACACATGTACTGCTGATGAATCCGACTAATTCGACTCAGAAAACACGAACAAACTAAATTCATACACATGTTACACGCATTTAGTATACGAGTGTAGTTAGTTCCATGTGAATCGAAATTGAACAAACTACTGTATTTCACAATGGTTCGTTCCGAAACAACTTTTGATAACTCGACTTTCACAATAACTTAACATTAAATAAAAAAAAAAATTTAAATTAAATTTAAAAAAAAAAAGAAGAAGAAAAATCATAAACCAACCCAATTCTTGAAGAAGAACATATTTTACTTCGCCGATTTGATTTTCTTGATAGTACGCTTTTAAGAGGGAGTTGTAAACAGATGAACTTGTCCTAATGCCAGCTAAGCGCATTTCATCTAGAAGATCGTGCGCATGATCTAGCCGACCGAGAGAAATGCACGAGTGGATTACGTAAACGAGTATATGCGTGTTAAAGAAGATCCTCGAAGTGGTAACGGAGTTAAGCAAGAGAATGCAAATTCCGGTTCGTCTCGACTTCCGATTCTGTAGGTATTTACCTTAAGGAACCGGTTTTAAGAAAGCTTCCGGTCGAGATGATGAAGATTGACGTATAGTTGATTATTTACTTTTTTTTTTCCTTCTTTCGAGTGTTTTTCAATTTGTTTATTTCGAGTGTTTTTCGATTTAGAGGCGGACCTCGACAGATTTCCGTTTTTCTTTTATTGTTAAATGTGTATATGAATTTTCGTCCACTGAACATCCTCTACGGTCGAAACTGTACTCAGAAAACGAGAATCAACTATATACACGTTCGTTACTCCGATTAATCGGACTAATTCAACTCGGGAAAAAATAGGAATTTCGACTATACACATTTACTGCTGATTAATCCGACTAATTTCGACTCGGAAAACACGAACAAAACTATATACGCATTTACTACCTGACCAATCGGACTAACTCGACTCCCGAAACGACAGACATTCACTAGTAATCAAATCCGACTAATTCAAAATCAGAAAACACGAATTCTCGATACACGTTTTTAGTGCTGAGATCAATCCGACAACTCACAAAGGTTACTGTGCAGAGTATTACGCTTCCTCTTGGGCCTGGCGACTTTTTGAACAGGGAAGAAACGGTTATCGACGTAAGGAACGAACACCTCCCCAAAACCCACGGGTTTATCACAACCCTCAAACTTTTGCTCCCGAGCGTCGTAGACCAGAACTACCGGAGTTTCCCAATACGTCATGCTTATAATCATCCGACGTATCACAACCTTATCTCCGGCGAAAAACATCGGCCGGATAGAGCTAATATTTTCCGGCACATTCTCGATACCGATACTCATCAACACATCCCAAGAACTATTGTTCTCGTTCCTCGTCCAGATTCTAACCACCGTCTCGTCTTTCGCATCGTTGCTGTAAACGCACAGACGCCCCTTCAAACACGTCAGGAAAATCGGTCTGTCGTTGTTGCCCCCCGCGCCAGCTGGCTTCTTTAGAATTTTGAGCTGGTCGTCTCTCGGATCGAAATAGAAGATCTTGACAATGTTCGGGTTATCGTCGTCGACGTTGAGCCAATACACGGCCCCGTCGAAATACAACCCCGATTCGCTGACTTGATCGGTCTTTGCGAACGGCTTCCGCCTCTTTTCCCAGATTCCGGTCCTGCAGGAATAGACTATGTAGTCCGGCAGCCACGATCTCGCTATGACGACGACCTTGAATTCGTCGAGAATCGGGCCGTAACACATCCCGGCGCTCGTTAGGCTCAGGGACCAACGTGAGTAGAATTCCATGGTGGCTCCAGTTGAGGGATTCCACAGGACGTAATTCGACAGCGACGGCGGCCGTAGGAGAACCAAGCCGTCGCAAAAGCACGAGACGGACCAGTCTCTAGTGTTAGGGTTTACCAATTGCCGGACGGCGACGAATTTCCCCCCTTCGAATTTGACCAGAGAAACGCCATGGCGGTACGACGGTTTCGAGACGAAGAGATTGGGTTGGGAGGACGAATTCTGGTAGCCTCGGATGTAGGTTCGGTGGAATGCCGGATCGGAAATGAGGTTCCTCCACGATCTGGAAACTGCTCGGAACCGGAGGACGGACTTCGCCGGCAATTTGAACAGGATAGTTTCTATCACGTGGATGGGAATGTGAACTGCATTTCTGTTGTTGCCTTCCGCCATGCGGCGGTTGTTGTTGTTGTTGGCGGCGGCGGCGCGTGTGTTGCAGAGAGTGATTTGTTTCAGTTAGGATTTAACAGAAAATGAATAATTTTGTTTCTCTCAATTTGTCAATTTCACTTATATATATAGTCTTTGTACACGTCAGCGTAATTTAAAAAAGGTTAAATTACCGCCACACCCTGAGGTAATCTCGAATTACGAAAAAAACCCTTATGTTTGGGTAATTACAACCACCCCTCTCAACTATGAATCTTCTTGCACGTCCATTTTTATGGTGTCAAATTCAACATAATTTTCTAGATTTCGTGGAATGTTCTCTATTTTGTACTCGTTTTGTGTAAAAATACAGTTTCTAATGCACCACAATCTGGTGTTTAGAAGCCGAGAGGCACATCTTATGATCATCTTGTTTCAAAATGTGGAGCTCGAATGAGATAAAACGGGTACAAACAACAGAATATTCAATATAATTTAGAAATTTCCACTAAATTTGACACCAAAATGGTGGACGAGTGTAAAAAAAATTCACAATTGAGGGGCAGTTGTAATTACACAAATATGAAAGAACAGTTAACATTTGTTAAGACTAGAAATATTGATGATTAATTCCACTCGGAAAACAAGAATCAAACTACACATAGTTATTTGCTGTGATTTACACGACTAATTCGACTGGTAAAAACACGAACAAACTGTACACATGTACTGCTGATAAATCCGACTCAGAAAACACGAACAAACTAAATTCATACACATGTTACACACATTTAAGTATACGAGTGTCGTTACTTCCATGTGAATCGAAATTGAAAAAACTACTATTTCACAATGGTTCGTTCCGAAACAACTTTTGATAACTCGACTTTTTTTTTTTTTTTTTTTTTTTTTGAGTAAATTCAAGTCCATTACAAAGAGGAGTAGGGGAGGGGGGACTCGAACCCTAGACCTTTACTCTATTAATAAAGGCTAGGTACCAACTCTCCTAATGAGGGTTGGTGATAACTCGACTTTCACAATAACTTAACATTAAATTTAAAAATTTAAAAATTAAAAAATTTAAAAATTAAAAAATTAAAAAAAAAAAAAAAAAAAAAGAAGAAGAAGAAAAATCATAAACCAACCCAATTCTTGAAGGCCAATGCTGCCTCTCTCTTCCTCAACTGATTCTCTGTCTGAATTTTCGGTGTCTTCCCCTTACAGTAATTTTTATGGTACTTCAAAAACAGCGCACGGTACTTATACTTATCAACAAACATACCGCCTTTCTCCATCATTTCGACTACCTCATTAGCTCTAACGAAGAACCCACCTCTCACAAAAGTATACAGCACAGCATCCAAGAGCTCAACATCGAACTTCATTAACCCACTCGAAAACGCAAACGATTTCATCTCCCCCCAAAGCTCAGTTACCTCAATATATTTACCACCAATCGCAGCGTATCCAGTCACCATCGAATGAAAAGTCTGAGCATTCGGATTGTGCCCCAAATCCCTCATCTTCTTCAATGCCTTCTCCGCATCTTGCATTAACCGTTTCTTGCAGAAGAAGTAAATCACATTGTTCCACTCGTGTACTCCACAATCCACCGTTTGCCCTTCTTTTATTTCATGCAGTAGCTTCGACATTAAATGGGATTCTTCCCTGGAATTATTTTTCACTATCTTTTCGAATTCTTGATTGCCATTTCTCGGTATTTTAGCTTCTTTCATCTCCTTGAACAGATTGAGTGCACCCGTTGTGTCATTTTCGATCCACGGGAGTGGATCAAAGCTTCGTAAGAGGATGCGTCCAATTGAATTCCGGCTTTTCGAGCCGCTCAACAAAATGATTTTACTTCGCCGATCCGATTTTCTTGATAGTACGCTTTTAAGAGGGAGTTGTAAACAGATGAACTTGTCCTAATGCCAGCTAAGCGCATTTCATCTAGAAGATCGTGCGCCTGATCTAGCCGACCGAGAGAAATGCACGAGTGGATTACGTAAACGAGTACTGAATTATCCGTAGATGCTGGAGAATCTTCTTTCTCTGCTTTGATCATGAATTCGACTAATTCCTTTACTTTACCAGCTTCTAGAAAAGCTTTAACCAATCTCATATAAGTTCTCTCCGTTGGCATGAGAACACCTCTTTCGGTAGTAATCAGTTCAACTTGCCCCTGCAACTTCACAACAAAGGCATCGAGCAACTCTTTTGCCTCGGATTCAAGCCTTGAAAACTTTCTGTCGTAACAGAAATCTTCATAAGATAAGAAATTCCGTCGAAGCAATACTGGGTTTTTAGCTTCATCGGATTTTGTAGTAGAATCTTGATGAGGTGGCGTATTACCTCTTTTTTCGGTCTCGAACACTAGATTAGCCACACCGATTGAATTCCGCGCTTTCTTTACTTTACGAAGCATTTCGAGGACCATATCAGAGGCAGAATCCAAATCCCCGAATTTCAAATGACAAGAAAGCAGACAGCTGTAGAACTGGCGAAGCTGAATATCTGTCACGCTGTGAACTTCTTCAATATGCCTCCGAAGCTTTTTGAGCTCCTCTCTCCGACCGTTTCTTTCATAAATATGGGCGATGATGATTAATGACGTGGCATCACTTTTCATATTGATACGAGGTATCATTTCAAGAAGCTGCTCCGCTTTCTTAGTAGTGTCGGAAAGAAGACAACCCGCCAAAGCAATGTTGAAAGCGGTTACATTAGGCTTCATAGATATTAAAGGCTCGTTGCATTTTTTCCGAGGATCGATTCTCCCATCTTGGAACAAGTAACCTATTTCAAGAACCAACTCAGCTGCTAAGTAGGCCCCACATGAATTCTCCGACATATGAGCAATAACTGCCGACCAAGCTGTCACAGGAGGGTATTGTTCTGTTTCAATTAGTTTCCTCAAAAGAGTGGATGCAAGAATAGGTAGCCCACTTTTAGAAAGGCCCAAAGACAGATAAATGAGAATCTCCCTGTCGAATAAAGTTTGCTTGTGGTTCTCAAAGGCGTTTTCGACCAATTTATAAGCCTTTTCGAGCCACTGAATGTCTAAACTCTCTGTTAATCCAGCAATCAGCTTTGTCACGGTGGATTTTCTGGCAAACCCTTCGACCCGCATGTGCTGCTCGTGTAATTCCCATGCATTCGTAAGTCTACGCTCGTTTACTGCAATTTCCAGCTCCTCAAGAAGTTTGCCTGTGTCTCGAGCTTGGACTAGAATTGTGCCGCCGGACATTGTTGTGAAATTGTTCGATGGATGTCCGTATTTCAGGCAAAATGTCGAGACACTGTTTTGGCTGTACGAGTGAGAGAAAGACTTGTGGTGGTACCTGTTAGCAACACACGGGCATTTGGAGTTTCTACTGAATCTGTGTAAAATGTAATTTGCCGTCGCCCGAAGGCTGAGTTTTCGTGTAAGCGACATTATGCTCGAAAAGCTATTGAATCATTGGCGTAGGACGGTTTCAATATTTAACATTCAGTCTCAATTTGCAATGTCATCTCACTGGGACATTTTGTCGAACACTTGGGTGCAATAGTATGAAGCCACATAACATGTTAACTTACAGTACAATAGGACGCAGAACAGTAACGAGAGATGAATAGAGATAGTCAACTGAGGATTTCCTTTTCTATTTCCATGGTGGATAACGATATTCGCCGGACGAAAAAGGGGCGGCGGAGGCCGGAGCAGTGATGCTCAGAGATGCAGCTTATACAGCTAGTAAAGAGAAAGCTATAACTCCGATCTCCAGTTTCACACCTCGTTAAGGCGGTGACAGATCGGAGTTAGAGTGTAGCCGGATTACTCGGACGAGACGACGGCGATATAAGGGTTGTACTCATGGCGGCGGTGGTGGTTCTGGGATTTTACGGCGGCGAGGAATGATGAATAATACCGTTGTAACGAAAAACTAGGGGTAATATGCTATGAGCCCCTCAAACGAAACCTAATTTGAACTAAATGACAAGTTCAAATTCATTTTTTTAATTAAATCCTTAATTTGAAATAATATATGAGTCACATCCCTAATTTTCTTTTAATCCCTATCTTGCCCTTATACCCTAAATTATATAACCTACATATTCACGTTTCTCCAATTCAGATTTATTTCGTCATTTGGTTTCTCTCTCTCCCTCCCTCCCTCTATCACACGTTCTCTTCTCTTTTTTCACTCTCGTTTTTTTCTCCATCTCGCTCTCATCTCTATATCTCCATACCTCTCTCTTGCTAATTAATTCAGTAATAGCCGAAGCCAAGGGTTGTGGTGGAGGAGGAGGCGGCTGGGGGGGCTGTGGTGGAGGAGGCGGCGGCGGCGGACAGTGGTGGTTGAGATGGCGGCGAGGTGTTGTGAGCGGCGGCGGGGGCTGGGGTGGAGGAGGTGGTGGCGACGGACTGTGGTGGTTGAGATGGGGGCGAGGTGTTGTGGGCGGCGGCGGCGGCTGTGGTGGAGGAGGCGGCGGTGGCGGGCTGTAGTGGTTGAGATGGCGGCGAGGTATTGTGGATGGCGGCGGGCTGTGGTGGTCGAGATGGTGGCGGGCTGTGGTGGTCGAGATGGCGACGGGGATGTGGTTATGGTGGATATTTGATCTTGATTTTCAAGAGATTTTGCTTGCTTTGGGTTCAAAATCGTAAATCTAGGTTTTCGCAAAGTTGGTAGGTTACGGTTGCGACGGCTGCAGATGTTGGCTGTTAGGGTTTGACATTGACGGCTAGGGTTGGCGAGGGTTGTGTGTTTTTGGCGGCTAGGGTTTGGTAGTATACCGTAGTAGACCATAGTGCACCGTAGTATACCATAGTCTACTATAGTATTACAACAAATAAAATATTAAAACGAAAAACGAAATCTGCTCCTTATGAAAACGAAATCTGCTGAATAAAATATTAAAACAAAAAACGAAATATTAACAAAAACGAAAAAACAAGTTTTGTTTTGTAATTTTTAATAATAATGTAGATTTTTTTTTTAATAATAGTGTAAAAACAATAGTACACCATAGTATAACACAGTACACTATAGTATACCATAGTATTTTTGAAATATGCTGAATTATTTAACAAAAACAAGAAAAAAAATAGTAATTTTCAGAAAAATGTTATAAATAAGAAAAAAAAATGTTTATAATTATATAAAAAATGCAGAGTGTAAATTGAAAAAATAAAAATGAGTGAAAGGGCATTTTTGGAATGAATTTAATAAAGGATATGAAGCAAAAGCTTGTCATTTAGTTCTAATTAGTTTTGTCACTAGGGACCTATATCTTAAGACCCCAATAAACTATATATATATATATAACGTAAATTACACCTACACTCCCCAAGTTAGGTATAATTACAAGTAGCCCCTTCTAATTTAGAAACTTAAGTATACATTCCTTCAGGTTTGATATTAACTAACTTACACCCAGTTGATGTGTTTGAATTTGAAATATTATTTTTGCCACTAACCAAATATTGCATCAATTACATCATCCTCCCCTGAAATTATACCTAATTGCAAATTTGAAAAATATTACGAACGCCGAAAAGTCTAACTTTTAACTTAAAACGGAATGTAAACTCGTTAAATAATATTTTTTTTAAATTTATTTGTCGAAACAAAATACAATAAAAAATAAATCACCATTGTCTTCCAATGATCATAAGAAATAGAATTAGCAGTACAGAAATTTCTTAAATTTATCATCTTTACATACGAAAAACGTGCGATAAATTAATTGCCTGACGATAAAAACGATAAAAATTCTCATACAGTTGCAGCTTTGAGAGAGAGGAAATCAGAAATCTTGTTGGTGTAGAAATCTGGCTGTATGGCGTTTTCGGGATTTTGAAGCATAGGCAGAGACGTCACTCCTAATTAATAATTAAAAAAAATTTAAAAATTAAAAAAAAAAATTAAAAAAACAATCGAAGATCCTTAAATGATGTAAAAGACATAATAATAACTAAGCTATTAGCATAAGATAATTTTATTTACCTGAAAGGACAAGAAGAGTCTTGCAACCGCCGTTTTGTCCGAAAAGAATATCGGTATCTAGTCTATCGCCAACCATGCATATCTGGGACTTTGAAATATTGAATCTGTTTCGGTTTTTTTTAGTAAACGAAGATGTTTGTTAAGATATTGCTCAGCCAAAATTTATATCATTATTATATTTTATTTTTAAATTGTCGTTTGTAACAATTAGAACAAGATAATCTTACTCATTTGCTAAATAGTCCATCATGAAAGTCGAGGGCTTTCCAACAACGAGTGGCTCCCGTTGAGTGGACCCACGCACTGCACCTACCATCGAACCACCACCTGCAAAAAAAAAATATCGCAGTTAATATTATTCGGAAAACTGGATTCGAATCGAACTCTTGCCTCAATGTGTCCGTGGCTAGTTATTACATGCTGTAATAAGGTTTCTGTAGTTTAATTAATTTACCGAAATATTTTTAAAATTGTTGTGGTAATTCAAATTCCCCTGTAGTTGAATTTATATAACGACTAATATAAATAATGCAATAATAAAATAACAAAAAAAAAGGCGATCAAACAGAAGTGAACCTGCCCATTCTTGCGCATCGGTAAGATGAGTGACGGCATCACGGTTTGTAGCAATGAAAAGACAGCCCGGGTTTTCTCGTATGCACAAAGTTGCGTACCTTCATATAAAGAACATGTAAAACAAAAGGATTTTATTTGTTAGGCCTCGTTTGGTTGCCAAGATAAGATTAAATAATCTAATGAAACCCAATTGTATTATTGGACCTTGGAAGTTAAGCCATGATAGCATAATATTTGCAGGTCGACCCGGTAAGTTATTGGGGATACCAAACATCAAATAAAGTCCAATTATTTAGTTAATCATGGCTAATCTCCCCAACCAAACGAGGCCTTAATGATATTATAACATAGAAGTGCATTATCAGTACAACTTACTGGATTTTGTAATAGTTGAAGTAACGATCGAATCCAACTACCACAGCCCCGACCTAATCAGAGAATCGACAATATATATTAATGCTTTTTAAATTTTCGATATAATTAAGAAGTATACGAGAATGAATATGTACTTCTTCATCGTGCTCCATCAAAAAACCGGGTTTTAGTTCGATCTTTTTCTCACCGTCTACCTGCAAAATGCAAAAGAACAGATTCTTCGTTACTATACCAAAATATGTTATACTGGGTTTTTTTTAGCCGATATTTTTCAATCGCAATTTTATGTATTATTTATTACATACCGGACCACCAATGTACTGAAATCCGGCTAACTCCAGCTCTATTTGGATTCCTTCCTCGCCAACAACGTACACCTGTACAGGCCGTTAATCGTGTAAAGATTTACACATGGTCAATTGATTCATCGATTTTATCAAAGTGTTTTATTTCCTAGTACATACCTTTTTATCTTTGGGGAAATCGATCGACTTTAAGTAAGCAGCTGCAGCAAAGGATGATGCAAATATTTCCTCCTGAAAAAATTCTTACCAGTTAGTGATACTTCCTTTTCCAGGAAAAAAAAAAGATGGGAAATTACAGTTTTCATCCCTCAAGTATGCACCAATTTCATATATGGTCCCCATGTTCACAAAAAACACATTTGGTCCCTAATATTCCAATAATTTAACACTTTTGGTCATTTCCGTCAATTTACCGCTAGTCCGTTAGTTAAGCTAGTGATGTGCACACGCTTGATTCCGTTAGTTTTAACGGGAGATTGACGGGAAGGACTAAAAGTGTTGAATTTTGAAGCATAAGGGACCCAATATGTTTTTATAAACATGAGGGACCAAATGTGAAATCGGTGCAAACTTGAGGCAAACTTGAGGGATGAAAACTGTATTTTTCCCAGAAAAGGGAATTGAAAAATAAGAACAAAATTCCGATAAACCCACCTCACTGACATCAAGACCGAGTGATTCAAACTTCTTTCCGTACTGTTTCCTCGATTTTGTCGAGTTATTAGTGACAAAAACCAACCGTTTTCCCTAAAACAGAGAAGCATTCAAATCCAACCATTAGCATTACCAAGAGACAATGCGCGGATAAGTCGATCGTGTGAAATAAAGATTCGATTACTCCATATATAACGAAATGTATCGAGAATCTCTAGGAAGTAATAAAGTGCTGACCTTGGATCGAAGCATGTCGAGAGTTTCCGGGACTCCGTCTATCAGTTTGTCTCCCTTCCATATTACTCCTGTGAAAAATATTGAGCAGATAAGCATTCGGTATAAATTTATAGTAACCGTAATTCTTCGATAGAAAAAACAGAGGCATTGATTGATAAAGAAAGGCGCCGGTTCATCGTAGATTCACAACCAACTCCGACGAATAAGGAGAGACCATCCGGCAATCTATTACAATCCACTAGGTTCTTCAACTAAACTTCATTGTTGCAGTGTAGATCAATCTCAATATTATCCACGGCACAAAATCGACCAACACGAAATGAGATAAACAATTTAAACAAAGCTTTTTTTTACAGAAAACGGTATGCACACTGTTTCCAATACTCATTTAGACATTTCCACAAACAGGTAGAAGGCATACGATAACAACACATAGAAAAAAAGGGAAGTCGGGTAAAAAATGCACCGTCGCAGTCGAAAATGAAGGTTTCGACAGAGTCGATAAGCTGATCAGGGTCCTGAAGCTGCTGAGCAGAGGCGCGTGGGCTAACAACTCTCGAAGAAGCGGAGGAATCCATTTTTCTCCGTGTGGAACTCTTGTTACTGCAACTCCATCCAACAATGGGTCTGACAGAATTGCAGAGTGATGGGTTGACTATAGAATTGATCTTCTTGGCGAAGTTTGATCTCAAGAACAGTGTGGAAGAAGATGAAGAAACTGCAGCTGCTGACAGTTTGCTAGTCAGCATTTCTATGGCGGAAGCTGGTTTTTTTAGTTGTTTCTGTTTCTGTTTTTTTCTTTTTCTTTTTCCTTTTTCTTTTTTTTTTTCTTTTTATTTTTTATTTTTTATTTTTGTTTTTGGATTGTTTTTGGTGGTCAAGTTTTTATGTGGTTTGGATTATGATTGGTTTTAGTTTAAGGGATGAGATGGAGAGATGAGTGGTTCATGATGCACTTTGTTTTATCCAATGTTTTGCAAGAATTGTGATTCTTGATTTTTTTAGGTTTATTTAATTGTTTTTTTTTTTTTTTCTTTTGCATGTGTGTTTTATATGGAAGGTCTTGATTTAAGGGGTAACAGCAGATAAATCCTCTATAGTTGTTTCATATGTAATGCCGAAACGAAAAACGACGATACGGGAAAACGGAGAAACGGATATGGCAGGCGGCATGTTCAAAAATATTAAAAGTATAAGGGTAGATTTATAAATATTCCATATAAAAATATATATAAGTTTTTATTTATATATAAAGTCTTTTTATATATTTCTATAAAGACATATTCAAACTAAATTTTACTATTAACTATCAATTTGTGGTTATCATTAAATCATATAAATTATTTGAAAACCAACAAAAATATTTTAAAACATTGCTATTAAAATATGTTTCTAACTTTCTAAAAATTGCAACATGGCACATAAGGTGTTCGGCAAGTGTCTTCGAGTTTCCGACACGAAATGTTTTCGAAATGCGAAAATGTTAACAAGTTAAAATTTCCTTGCTGCATAGTGACATGTTTCAAAAGCGTATCATTTTCTATTGCATATGTTTCAGATACACGTCAATCCCTCTTTGGTACCCCTATACTACACAAAATATATCAGTTACCCTCCTGATCTATAGAAAACATCAAACGCTCTCTGATCTCAATATTTTTCCTGATTGCGTTAGTCAAACACTTTGATTGATTGTTGTAAAGAGCTGTTGGTATTTTTCTTTTCCTTATTTGACGAAAATATCCTAAAAAATCTCTATATATATAAATTGCTTAGTTTTGACCATTTTCACCGAATTTTTCACTCTTTTTTCAGCTTGTTTTTTTCTTCTTTTGTTTAGTATAAAAAAATTGAAAATCGAATAATTAAAAATGAAGATTTGTCGATTATGAATGCAAAATACCACAAAAAGAAAACTGAAACCCCTAAAATCTAGAAGAAACTTAAATTAAAATAAAATCCTAATTTTAAAAAAATTACAAAACAAAACTTTTCATATTATATCGCAAAGCCCCTCTAAAAATGAAACCTGAAAACCCTTAAAAATCTAACACCAAAATCGGAAAAAGGCCCTAATTCGAATGAATGCTAAAAACCGTCAACAATCCACACAAAATTAAGGATTTTATCAAACATAAAGCGTGGTAAAAGAGTCATTGATTATATTTAAGAAAGTTAAAAGTGAATATTGACCGTCAAAAATAGGGGAGCGTTTAATGTTTTTTCTATAGATTAGGGGTAAATGATACATTTCGCATAGTATAGGGGTGCAAAACGAATTTTACCCAAAATTATATGCTGTAGCGTGTATCAATATAATTATGGGCTGGAGATATTTATTCGGGCCCTACTTTAAAGATGGGCCATATTTCTAATCATAGGTTTTGGGCTAAGTAATTTATGCAGTAATTATTTTATTTTATTAAAAGTTAAAAAAAAATTACATATATAAAAGTTAAAAAAATAAAAAAATATTTTGCTTACATATATATAAAAGGATTTGAAAAAGTAATTAATTTGGTTTGCGTGTTTCAGGTCCAATTATTAATTCGCATATTTGGGGGACCAAAAAAGAAACAAAACAGAAACTACAGAAATTTGGGGGAAAAATCGAGAATTTAATTGTACCCAGAATCCACGTATCTGTACAACACGCAGAAGTAGTTGTACCTTTTCCAATCCCAATCAAATATATAAACCCTAATTGACAGCAACGCAAAATCATTAGCCAGTATACGAATTGCTGATACGGAAGAACCCCACTCCAATTGATTCTCTTACAGTCTCATGCCCTCCGTCACCGGCACCGCCTCTTCCTCCGCCGCCGCCGCCGCCGCCTTCAGCCGCCAAAACCAACATTCCGTCGCCACCCACTCCGTGAAACCCGAATTCAGTCCCCTCACCATGCACACACCCGGCACGCTCGACCCGTCATCCGCCTCCTCCTCCGCCTCCGGCCCAATCCTCATCGACGGTTCCGAACACGACGCCGCCCTTTCAAAATCGGAGTTTCTGACCCGACCCGAAGTCATCAACCGCCGCGCCCGCAGAGTCAAGCAGCTCGCCCGAATTTACCGGGACCACTACTGGACGCTGATGGAGGAGCTTAAGTATAAGTACAGGAAGTATTATTGGGATTATGGAAAAAGCCCCTTTGTGGAAGATGAGGAGGGTGAGAGGATCAATCCGAACCGCGGGGAACCCGCTGCTGCGGCGGCCGCAGAGAATGTTGGTAATGGAAATTTGGGGGCGAATGGGGGCAGTTGTAGTAGTATTGCTTTGATTAGATGTGGGGTCCATGGTTGCAAGGCGAAGGCTATGGCGTTAACGAGGTTTTGCCTTATGCATATACTGTCTGATTCCAAGCAAAAGCTTTACAAAGCTTGCAGTTTCTCCATAAAGAGGTTTGGTTTCTTTTCATCTCTCTCCCTTTTTTTTGGTCCAGAAAATGTTTGTTAATAATGTGGTACACTGTAATTTTGTATGTTGGCACTTGACGATTTTTAGTTCGTTATCATCTAGTAATATATTTTATATGATTGAAATATGCGATGGTTAAGATCACCGAGTGTTCTAGATGTAATCGAAACTGGCTGCACCAATTCGTGGTCGCACTATGATAATTTCTTTGCCCGTAATAATCTCATATGTCGTAGGGTGAGTGGTATTAGTATTGGAGAATCTCTATCCTTGAATAACTGCACTCTTGTCACTGTGCGGCATTAATTGGCTAGTAATAGTTATTAGCATGCCCGCCTCTTAAATATTACTCGACTGTATGTATGTGTGATGCACTATAAAGTGTTTTTATATTGTTCTAGAGTGAACCATACGGTAAGTATTCGTTATTCTTTACTTAATGTTGAAAACATATGAAGCAAATGTGGATATGGGTAGGTTTCTGGGGGGTTTTCTATCAAATATTGTTCTTTGGTTTGTTATAAAAGGGTTTATGAGTTTAGTATTTACTTTAACAAATAACTGTATTTGACTGGATTGAGCTTTGCTGAGTTACATCATTCTTAGTGCATGTGTGAATGAATATGCATGTTAACTTTTTAGGGTCTTGGTTCTTGTATTTTGGCGAAAATTTGTTCTCCGTATAAAGTACATATTCAAACCCTTTCTACTTTTAGTGTGTGATTATCTGAAAAGGGAGTCTGTTAAAACTTAAAAGAAGTTAAAGCTTACAGAGTTATAGCTAAAATTATTTGAAGTTTTACTCGAGTTGACAGGTACAGTTTCAATATATATACATATATACACATGTATGTATGGTGTGTGTGTGTGTGTGTTTGTGTGTATATATATATATATATATATATATATATATATATATATATATAATACTTAACATTTTAAGGTATGCATAACGTGTTTTTCCCATTGATGTTGCGTATTAATAATTTTGTGTAGTATATCATCTAGTCACTTTGATACATTAGCTAAGAAAGTACATGCCATCAATGCATAGTTTCAAATTTAACCATTGTTCTTTAAGTTGAGAAACCTCTTGTGGCAACAGTTGAATACAATATTGTATAAAATGTATTCCTTCTGACATCAGTTGTTTCCAGCTTAAGAATGTAATAAACCCATGATTTAATGATGGTTTTGTTTCTCTTTTGCTTTTTTTGTTCTATGCTCTTGCCGGAGATTGTTGGGATGCGTTGGAAGTTCTCATTTGTTCCAAGTAATATGTTTCTTTTTGTTTGAAACACTGAACGAACTGCTAAATCTTGTGTGCTTTAACATGGATAGCCATATTTGAGGTAGTCTCATTTTTTGAATCAGGTTATAGTACTTGCTGCATTTAACTATGGTTTCGGGGACTTGAGTGCTTAAACTTGCGATCAACATTAATCTTAAGTTAGATTCAAAATTAAATTTCATGCAACAAGCTGAGTAGACATATTGTGATTATCTTCTACTACCAAAACCTCTGTGTGCTATCATCTTCCACTGGTCCCACTGGCGATATCATATAATGGGATGTCCTCTGTCTAGTTGTCAATTAAGAAATAACGAAAAATAAAGGGATCTGTTTAGATAATAATATTTATGGTACTATCGACCCCGTTTAAGTGATTTTGTACAATTGGTTCTTAATTTTTTTTCGTTCAACTAGAGTGATGTATAAAAACCTATTTTACATCCTAAGACTCGAGCAGATCATCACTTCCATAAATTTGCTGGATGATGCTTGCAGTCACTCCAACTTTCAAATCGACTAAATAAGAATTATTTTAATTTCTCCAAAACATTGAGTAATCAAAATTATGGAATTGTGATAACTGATAATGCTATGCTAAATGTGGTAAAAGGAATTGCAAAAATTGCAATTTAGATTTTTGTTTGATCCTTGCCTCCGTGCACCAAAAGCTGAGGAGTGAAATTGAAATATGATATGCATTCTTGGAAATATCCATCATGAGGTTTGACTAGTTTGGGTGTTACTATATTTAGTCTACATGGATTCATACCGGGATTATACTATTACTGCCGCCACTTCGACTCATGACTCTGGGAGATTCAGACATAATTGAAGTGGATTGCAGTAATCAAGTATGTCACGTGTTGAAAATGTTAATCAAGCTCTTTAAAGTTAGATTTAGTATCAAATATCAATTCATGGTTTATAATCCCAAGAGTGAGCACCTTTTTATCTTTCATTAATATTTTGGGCTCATAGGGTACAAAATACTTCCATTACTTTTTCGAAGGGTTTCACCTGATAAAAATTATCTACATGAGATTTTCCTTTGGCATGCAAGGTTAGAATTCTAGATCTTCATAGGAGACCTCACTTTCTGTCTAGGCTCAGCTAATCCTAGTATTTACCCATGTTCTATTTCACTAACTTCTCTTCAAGACAATGTCCAAAAATTCCAACTCTTGTGCATGTTTGAATTTTATTTGACAAGGAATCCAATATCTTGGAATGGCTATAGTAGCAATCACCATTCATCGAGGCTTTCCCCACGATCAAGTCATAAACTCCCTTAACCGTCCAGTACTGACCAAGCACCAGCCATCGGCCTCAATAAATTATTTCGTCGTTGAAGATGTCGTTGATCTTCAACGACTACTTTTTAAGTGTAAATATATCAAAAACTTTCACATTTATATTTAAAACTCTCTGTCGAAACACATTGACCTATAGCATTTGGATGAGTAATAAATTGTACTAGAAAATATGAAAGATACTTATATTGGTAGTTTTGTTTTGCTTGATCAAAAGCTCATTTATAAGTGATTCGTTAAGAATCAATCATTTAAAGTTGGTGTTCTATAGTACTTGACTCGATTTGGTATTCCGTGATTGACAATTTGAGTTTTTTGAGTTTATGCCATAAATTCAATTAAGCTTAAAAGCTAATAACTTGTCCTAATTTCATTGACTCCCTGAAATGTGCCGTATCTTTTGTTTCCTTTGTGAAATTTATGTTTGTATTCTTGCGCTATGAAAGATTCTGTGTTAGTTTACGAATGTAGCATATACACGTGTGCGTGCTGGCAATATTACCCTTTGTGGATTCCACGTGCCGTTTCTATACCTAGACGCTTTTTAGGTTTAGATGATGACATGTGTAGTTGTTATACTGCAAAAAAGTAATAAAGTTTTCCTTTCGGAAAAAAAAATTATTGCGTGCGCACCAAGATGTATGTAATCTGTTTATGCCAGCGCATATAGCATCTCAAAATGCATTAGAAATATACTAGATACAATTGTTCCTTACTATATTAAATGGTAAATTTCAAATACTACCCTTGAGATTTGACCTGGTTGCAAATAAACTAAGTTATCCCCTTACGATTTGTCTTTGTTGGACAAATAACCCCCTCAGAGGGTGCAAATTGCAAAATAGAAAAAAATGTCAGTGGGGAATTTGCAAGTTAAATCGGGTCTTTTTGTTTTTATATGCAGCTTAAATATCAATTTTATTTTTTGTCGTCTTTGTTCCTAATCCTTTTTAGGCTGCTTTTAAAGCTTCCCATCTTAGAAATAATTTAGTGTCCTTTTGAATTCTCCGACTCCAAATAAGTTGGTTCTCCTAATCTGCTTCCCCAGGAATATCCTAAAAAAATTTAGGTTAGGATATATTCATTTAATCTTTTCGTTGTCGAACATTTTATTTGGTATTTAGGACATTGTATCTCGAGATCAGAATCAGTTATCAGTTTATCATGATAGTAGAAGCTGATTCTTTCTTATCCTTGTGTGTGTGTGTACTAAACTTTTTGTAGTTGAGTGATTGTTTTGTCCATGTTAATAATATGCCACTAATTGCTATTAAGCATCTCACACTCTTTCTAATTTGGATTGACACGTTTTTTTTTTTTTTTTTTTTTTGGTTCCTTTTTTGCACACGTGGATGTATTTTACATCGGTCGGATAACTGTGTTAATACTATTTTGTTCAAGGATTCTCCTTTTCGACCTTGTTAGTTTATCTTGAATAAAGTGCTTAAATCTAGAAAATATCGTCAGATTCCAGTGACACGTTCATTTATTTGCTGTTGCGTTTACGTACACATATTTATATTTTCTCTACTGAAATTAATATATTTTTTTCCGTTTTTGTTGTTTTCTTGTCTCGTGTCAGTTCAACTACAGGACCTATACTGTGTGGAAAACCGATACTGAGGTCAACCGTTCCTTCTTATTGCCATAGCCATTTCCAAAAAGCCGAAAAGCATATGGCCCGTGCTCTCAAGAAGGCTGGTCTAAGCGCCACTTCGACAAATAAGCACGCTCCTAAATTCCATGTCATCGTTACAGAGTACGTTCGGCAGATCCAGCAAAAGAGACGAGCTGCACAAAGGGCAAATCTGGAAAACGCCGAAAATAAGGAGGAAAACCGTTCTTGATAACATGCTCCTCTTTGCTCGTTGCAAATATGAAATATGCAGTAGGTTTATAACATTCTTTTATTCCTTGAGCCAAAAAAATCGGAGAAGCTGCAATATTTCCGAGCAAGAGATGAACTTACTAGAGACTTAGATAAGCTAAAAAAAAAAGTAGATATTCGTCGAATAACTCAATCTTGACAATGAGGCTTTTAGCGTTTGGTAGATGAAAATATTTGTACACATTAGAGTTTGCCATTTTGCTGCTTTGGTTTTATCTCTGAATTCTTTCGTTCGACTCTGTAGTTCGATTGTCTGAGAAAAATCTTGCCCATGTTCAATATAGACAGCTTGATTTACTCTGTGCGTGTGTGTGTGTGTGTGTGTGTGTGTGTGTGTGTGTGTGTGTGTGTGTGTGTGTGTGTGTGTGTGTGTGTCTGTAGTTTTCTTTGAGTGTGTACAAAGTCACTTGTAAAACAGGTTTTGTTTGTGCAGAAAGAGAAGAGGAAGAACAGAAGTTGGATTTCTTTCTGACCTTTGGAAGTTTTATTTGGCCATAATTTACAAGTGAAAATTACCATCCTACCCTTTATTTCTGACCTTGACCTTAATAATCGAACTTAGGTAACAAATCTCCTAACGAGGATCGATTTTTCTTCGGTTGCATCTGAATGAAAATATTTAAAGATAGGAAAACCCGAGTTCATACTAAAAAAACCATCTGAAGTCGTTTCGATATATTTGTTCGACAATTAACGAAAAAAATCCCTCAAAATTTTCAATCGAAATGCAAAAGGCTCGACACTTTTTATTCTTTTTTTTTCTTTTCGTCGCCTTTTCTTTTTCAATTTTAACCGTAAGCGATAATACAAGATTCGAAAACATTTCTTTTTTCATTATATTCTGAACGAGGGTCAGAATCTGGTTAAGATTCAACCATTCGATAAACTTCCATTTCTATTACAACTTTGCATCCACACCACTCCCTTTTTATTTATTTTTTATATATAGAATATTTAATATTCAATGGGATATAAATAGAATTTTCATTGCTACTTATTACATCTTTTCTCCTGAGGATAAAAAAGCGAAAAGTTTTTTACTTTGCTTTGATAACTACGTCCTGAACTAAGCAATGTTTTGAAAACCGGACAAGCTATTGTGTTACGATTAGACCGATTCAACTGGGAACCAACCGTTCATACTTACTTTTTTTTACACACACAACATATCAACACACACATACCACAACGAATCATTTCAAATATTATAGAAATTATAATAAAAAATAACATTTCTTCCAATTTCAAAAAAAAAAAATTGATTTAATTTTTTTCAACTGGACAGTAAAAAGACGTCGTTTTGGCCATTTTATTTGTTTTTTTTAAAGCACAATTTTGGGGGGGGAAACCTAATTTTCACACCGGTTCCGATATTACGGTTCAGCCGGTCAAATTAGACCGGAGACTAGAATCAAGCAATGAGGAACCTTCATCAACTTCAAATAAGCGATCATATGAAATTATATATATATATATATATATATATATATATATATTATATATTGTTTATATACCTAAGATATGCAAAAGGGCTTGCAAAATTGTCCTAGGTTGTGTTTTCTTTTTTAGCCTTTTTCTTCACAAAAAGTTTAAACCTTTATATACATAATACATATAATATATGAATGGAAGAATATATATATATATTATATACATACATACATGGCGAAAATGAAGATTCTGCAAACAACTTTATTCCTATATATCAATTATATATATATTGTGAAATCTTTATATTTGTTAAAGTTGGTGTGGCTATGGAGTACCCATATATATAGCTTCTCTTTGTATGGTCGGCTTTCTTCGACCAATCAGAATTCATTATCTTATTCTCTTAGGACAATGATTTCTTAATTGAATCATTTTTTGTGGAACACAGCATATATGCATTTTCTATGTTGCCATTCCCCATATACTCTCTCTCTCTCTCACACACACACACACACTATGCATGTCACTAGCCACGTAGGACAGCCATAGGTGACGGATGTGACTACATTCGGCTCAAAGGTAGAAACGGTGGAAATCTAGCCACGTGGCATGGACTCAAAAAGAAGCTTCACACACGCGGGCCCTCTCCATCAAACCGGCTCAGTCCGCAAAGAATGAGGTTGCTCGTCCTCAACAGACAAGCACAACTCGAAGTAATTATCACATCACTCCCACGAGTGATCTGACCGTAGACATAGCAGGGGTCCTACAACCCCATCCCTACGACATGTATAAATACAATATATATTGAAGAACAAGAAAGGACCCATGCATGTAGGGGTGGTAAACGAGTTGAGTCGAGCCGCTCGTAAGCTCGATGAGCCGGCTCGAGAAAAGCTCGAACTCGAACTCGAGAAGAAAAAAATAAACCCGATGAGCTCAAGCTCGGCTCGTTCACACCCCTAACCACGTATATTATGAATACGTACTCATTTTCCATACATCTCTAAAAGTACAATTAGATTGTATATCCACGACTTCAACCTTGACTAATTTGACCGTTGGAGTGTTAATAATAGTTTCTTCCAGCCACAACGTGGCAAAAACCTATTAAAAATTATTTCGAAAATTTCGTATTTCGCTATATTAATAAAAGTTTACTAATCACGATTATATTAATTTATAAAGTTTACTTTGTAGGGTCTGCATGTACGTTTGATGAACCAATTTTTATTGAATTTCTTTTTTTTTTTTTATTATTATAAAGAAATTCTCATTGAAATTCTATTTTTTTAATTGAAATTCATAATGAATTAAAATGGGCCCCATTAAATTTGACCCTTTTTTCATCACTTTATTCTTATTGTTGTACACCATATAAAAGATTGTGTGATTTTTGTGGTGAAGAATGAAAAGTTACAATAGGGAATATTATCTATAGAATTCCCAAATTCAATTGTATACAATTGGTCCCATATGAAGTCATATCTTGCCCCTTTTTCTGCTTACATCCAGATAATCCACTTTTATTCCTGCTTTTAAATTAATCAGCGTATAACATCATGCAATTCAAGAAAATAAATAAAATTTTGAAACATTTTTTTAATTAAATTCCAAAAAGTAGTACTACCAAATTCTTGGTGTCCTATTTTATCGGAATAAATGATCTGGTTTTGTAGTACTCACACCATTGATCTGCACATAATAACACACACCCATGTGTATGTGTGTCTTGTGGGTTTATTTATGTAGATCTACGTTCTAAACTACGTGGTGTATTTCACCACATGTAGGATCTCGATCATA